GGCAGATGGACTGAAATACACTGCTGCGGGGAGCAGCGGGTGGCTCAGGAGAGGTCTGCCGCGGGTGTGGGCCAGCTCCCTGGCCAGGGCTCGAACTCGTGCCGCAGTGGCTGCGGAGAGCTTCATAGTGCTGCGCTTTACCCCTTGTGCCACCAGGGAAGCCCCGCTTTAACCATTTTCTTTTATATTTAAAGAGTACGTTATTAGAAAGAGACAGGAGAGGAAAGGACGCTCGCTCGCATAGGCGCAAGCAGGCAGGAGGAGCTGCCCCCGCTGAAATCATTTTTAAGCTCACAGCAGCGGCAGGGGCATGTGCACTGTGCCGCCGTCGCCCTTATGCATTTTGTGACTGTTTCCATCATCCCAGGCTGAGGTTTGCACCCTTTGAGGAGTCATAGTTTGAAAAATACCGCCAAATGATTTATTTCCCCTAAAGTTTACCTTTAACATTCAAATAGATTTATTTTTAAATAGTGATGTATTATACTTTGATTAGCATTCTGAACAAGGGGGAGCTTTTCTGAATCATATTATTTATGTTAGGTAAGTTGAATGCAGCCACCCAAGACTGGCTCTTCCCTTGCCCCGCCAGTCCCCCACACCTTGTCATTCAGGTCTCAGCTTAACCCTCACTTCCTCAGAGAGCCGCTGGCCGCCTGCCGCACCAGTCCCCAGCGCTCTCTGTCCCCTCCGTGACTTCTCTTAAAAGCCCACCACCTCTGAGAGGGTCTTTTTCCTGTCAGCCTTCAGTGCTCCCTTCTGCTTCCCACTAGGATTGTATTTCTCAGCCTTCCCCCCTTATCAGCCCCCAAGCTCCCAGGAGACTTTTAAACTGCTTTGTGCTAATTGTCCGCCCACTTGAATACCCGCACTGTACTGCGTGTCTTTATGTCGTGTGGGCTCACGGGGAGCCACCCCACACAGTACCCGAGGCTTTTTTGCCTGCCCCCTTGGAGTAGCACCAGCCCTGTGGAGAAAGCCTGGCAGCGGACACAAGCCCTGGGAAGCAGCGCCTTGCTTGTCTTGTCCAGTGCTGTCTCCAGCGCCACCTCGGAGCTTGGGAGGTGCCGAACGTGTGGCTGGAGTGAGGAAGGCCCGGGAGGCTGGGAGCACAAAGGGCCATTCATCCCTGAGTTGCGGGAGAGACAGCAGGACGGTCTCTTGGAAGATAGGCTCCCAAGTGGCCTCTTGTACCCGAGTGGGGGGGTGCGGCTCACTGTGGGGGGGAGAAGGATGACCCCTTGGGGGTCTCAGTGTGGGCACCCATACAGGGGCACGTGCCATGCTGGAGCCCATCGGGTGGGGCCATGCCACCCACAACGCAGGACCATGAAAGTGGCCACAACCTTGGCTTCTAGGAATCTCGGGTCTTACTGCACGGCTCTCGGGGGCCCCTGGGCCAAATCAGGAGGCCCTAATTCCCACTCCAGGCTCTGCCACCAACTGGCTGTGTGAAACTAAGATGGCCTTGCTGTGGGATCTACCTTGCTGGGAGACCCCAGTGACCCTGAAAATCCCCACAGGGAACCTGAAGGTGGTAGTCACAGTGACAAAGAGAAACTCTCTGCATTTTGCTCTAACTCATGCGCTGAAGATGCAGTCAGTCTCCCAGGCCTGGGTCTCCTGGAAATTGCAGAGACCCCCTCCGCAACCCACCTTTACCTCTCACCCCCTGCCCACTATGCCCCCACCCTGGCTAAAACCACTGGGAGCTGCTGAGGAGCAGTGGGGGCTTATCTCTGCTTTTCCAGACTGGGCTGCTCTGCAATCCTGTTTATTTATCCAGAGCAGTCGCCCGCTGAGAAAATGGCTGTGTTTGTTTCCAAGTGTGTTGTGTGAACCGTGGGCTAAATATACCCACACCACTGCCGCCCCGGCACCCGCCCTGGAACAGCACGCCCCATTTTGCTCATGTTCTCTCTGCAGAAGCAATCCCCAGA